TAAGGAATAGCATGGAGGACATTAGGAGAAGGAAGGGAAAAATGAAGAGGGGGAAATAAGAGGGAGAGATGAACTATGAGAGACTATGGACTCTAAGAAACAAACTGAGGGTTTTGGGGGGCGGGTGGGGGATGGGTTAGCCTGGTGATGGGTATTAAGGAGGGCACGTACTGCACTGAGCACTGGGTGTCATACGAAAACAATGAATCGTGGATCACCACATCAAAAACTAATGATATATTGTATGTTGACTGACATAACATAATAAAATAAAATTAAATTAAATATAAAATTAAATTAAATTAAAAAATGGAAGAATGGGAATGTGGTTTCCTCATCCGACCAGTTCCACCTGCTCTTTTGAGGACAAACATCTTGCCTCATGGCTCTGATTTTGATGTCTAAGGGCTCATATATATTTTTTAATTCATTAATGGATATTTTGCATAATATCTCTTATAATGTGTGGTACACTATAATGTGTAGTACATATACAAACCACACATAATGTGTTGATGGAGCAACATAAGGGATTTCCAAGGGCAATTTTGACTATACATAATATTTGCCTTATGACTCTCACACAAGACACTAGCATACTGATTTCCTATAATACAGATGTCCTCTAAAGTGATTTCTGTTTTCTCAGAGAGAAGTGCAGTTGCGCTTATCACTTATCAGTCTCTTTGGGATATTCTGAATGGATCCTTTTTTAATGATGGAAGAGGGACACAGGAAATGAAACTGAACTCTCGTGTCGTGAGTGGCACCATAAGTACGAAGAAAAAAGTATATCTGTCTGAACCTGTGTTCCTGACCTTCCAGCATATTCAGGTGAGCAAAATCCAGAGCTGGTTCTCTGTGCATTACCTCAAAGAGGTGTGTTATGATGGGTCCTGCCAAGAAACTGAATCCAACTCTGCTCATTCAGAGTTAAAAGAACCAACAAGAAATGTTGAGGCACCCAGAGATTGCCACCGGGGGAAGCTATTATTACATTTAAGCCTAAAAAGGCAATGGAGGGATGAGCATTGTTGAGCCCAGTGAGAGCTGGAGACATGCTGGAGGGTTGCCCTGCTGGAGATGGAGATATTCTGAAGCAGAAGAAGTGTCTGGAAGAAACACCTGACTTCCTTCTCCTCTCATCTAAGGACTTCTCATCAGTTCCTTTCATTCATTGTCCCAGTGACAAGGAGCCTGGGTAAAGCAGTTCATAAGGGTCAATCCCTGGGGCTCTGAGATGACCAGAGAAGGGCAGAATAAAGGAAGAATAAACCCCACAGAAGGTGTGGTCATATGAAACTCTTCCCCACAAGTGTTCTAGATAATGGGATTTTCCCATTCCGGTTTCCAATGCAATGCATCCATGACTAACCTATAAAATTAAGATAATAAAACCAGAAAGAGCCCTGCTTTCATGCTATTTTCTTTTCAGCCTGGTGGTGCAAGAACAAAATATTTCTGTGTCTACTGGAAAGGATCAGAGGAGGGGGGCACCTGGTCGACAGAGGGCTGCTATCATGTGGGCAGCAACGATTCACACACCAAATGCAAGTGCTTCCACCTTTCCAGCTTTGCTGTCCTCATGGCTCTTGTTCCCAAGGTACCAAGATTCATGCTCCCCTCCTGGTATCTGATTGTGTCCAACAAACTGTGAGATTGTCCTCTCCATGTCTTAAAAAAAGACTGAGATAAGGAGTCAAGTGGAAGTAGTTTACTTGAGAGGTAATTCCAGGAAGCACCAATAAGGGGCTGGCAAATGAAACAAGAAAAAACAAAAGTTAATGCAGAGAGCATTATCAAGCCCCTCATTACTTTGGGCATCTGGAATTTAATTCCCTCTAGGGTACTCTGGGAATCAGTGTAGGAGATGCATCTGAGTCATCCTAACTGAACTGCAAGAGAGCTAGGCTATCTATAGACCACCTCCTCTCAGGCATTGGTTGAAAGCTGCATGGGGGTGGGGGTCGTTAATTCTGGCATGTCCACGGGCATGGGCAGAGTAAGCTCAAGCTAGCAGAGAAAGCTCTCAAACATTGGAAAGTTGGGTTGTCAGCCCCTATAGTTGCGGGGTCTAAGATGATCTGGAATCAAACATCCGTTACTCTGCAAGAGAGAGTTACAATTGGTCAGATGGGAAAGAAGGCAACTGACTGTCTCCAATGAAAAAGTATAGGTCCTTGAACTTCCCAGATCCCAACCACATCTAGGATCAGCCAGATTTAAAGAAATTTACCTAACTTATTCCCCTATTTCTTTTAAGCTCTCAATTACTGAACATTTACTGTATGACAATCATTACATTACACATTTAAATGCATTGGCCTCATTTTATCCATTCAACAAATTTGCATATGACTGCCTACTATATGCCAGATGCTCTAGGCATTGAGGATACAGCAGAGAACAAAACAGATAAAGAAATTCCAACCTTCATGGAGATGACTTTGGAGAGCTATGTTGTCCAATAGGATCACCGGCCACATACGGCTATTGGGCACTTGAAACGTGGCTAGTGTGGCTGAGAACCAATTTTTTTATTTTATTTAATTTTAATTTATTTAAACTAAGAAGCAGTGTGAAATATTTTTCCATTAAATACCACTTCATTCATAGAATTTCATTTCACTTTTATCATTGAAAATAAAAGCATCTGAATTCAGATGTGTTGTAAGCATAAAATACACCCTGGATTTCAAGGGCTTAATATGGAAAAAAGTATCAAATATCTCATTAATAATTGTTTTACATTGATTGTAATTTGAACTGATTGCATTTTTGTTGTATTGATTATATTATATTCAATACATTGGACTGATAATATTTTGAACATATACTATTAAATTAATTTGACCTGATTCTTTTCACATTTTAAAAGATATGGCTACTAGAAAATTTTAAATTCCACATGTGGCTCACATATTTCTTTTGGACAACACCAGGCTAGTGGTTTTGGTTTTTAATAGCCTTGTGTGGTGAATGCTATTAGTGCACCCATTTTGAAGATGAGAACATCAAATCTCAGAGAGGTTAAGTCAGTAGTTTAAGGGACTGAACTTGGAAGCCCGTCAGACTCTCCATCAGAAACATAACTGCAGAATTGGAAACTATAATGAATTCTTCACTTGGTGGCTCATAGGTGGATCCTGTGTTGACCATGATCACCTGTGTGGGGCTGAGCCTCTCTCTACTGTGCCTCCTCCTGGCAGCCCTCACCTTCCTCCTGTGCCAACCCATCCAGAACACCAGCACCTCCCTCCACCTGCAGCTTTCCATCTGCCTCTTCCTGGCCCACCTGCTCTTCCTTACAGGGATTGATCAAACTGAGCCTAAGGTAGGTAATTTAACCAAATCACCTTCTTGTCATAATCAAATCTAGCCATGTTGTCTTGAGGAAGGATGGGGAGAAGAAGGCAAGGGTCAGCAGTAATGGTAACAACAGGGATGGAGCTAGAGGGTATTATGCTAAGCATAATAAGTCAGTCAGAGAAAAAAATACCATATGATTTCACTCATATGAGTAATTTAAGAAATAAAACAGATGAACATAGGGGAAGGGAAGGAAAAATAAAATAAGATAAAAACAGGGACAAACCATAGTGACTCTTTTTTTAATTTTTATTTTTATTTCATTATGTTATGTTAATCACCATACATTACATCATTAGTTTTTGATGTAGTGTTCCATGAATCATTGTTTGCGTATAACACCCAGTGCTCCATTCAATATGTGCCCTCTTTAATACCCATCACCAGGCTAACCCATCCCCCCACCCCCCTCCCCTCTAGAACCCTGTTTGTTCCTCAGAGTCCGGAGTCTCTCATGTTCGTCTCCCCCTCCAATTTCCCCCCCTTCATTTTTCCCTTCCTACTATCTTCTTCTTTTTTTATTTTTTTAACATATAATATATTATTTATTTCAGAGGTACAGGTCTGTGATTCAACAATCTTACACAATTCACAGCGCTGACCAGAGCACATACCCTCTGCAATGTCTATCACCCAGCCACCCTATCCCTCCCACCCCACGCCCACTCCAGCAGCCTTCAGTTTCTTTCCTGAGATTAAG